TAATCGTGGCTTATGCACATCTCCATCATCATACACCAAATATGTTCCACTGAATCAACAAAACTTTTATTTAAAATTTAAATATTTGGATACAACCAAAAAATATAAAACACAATGAAGTGATATGCTCATACATCTGAAATACCCATTTTATTTTACTAATGAATTTATAACAAAGCCACTCCTCTTCTTGTTCGATCAAGTCGCAACTGGTATGATATTATACTTAATTTAAACGCGAATGTGACTCGAATTATGCTGCCAAAAACCTGACGAAATATTCAATCATACATGAATCCTCTGTATAAAATAATACGCATGCTAGTTTGTTTGTTCATTTTAAAATATTCAAGTCATCAAACTGCATTTCAGTGACATATGTTAAATCAAGGTTGAAATACTTGATTTTTTGTCAAAACTGATAAAATGATTCTAGTTAAACTGTTTAATTATAAAAATGATTAAATGAATTTTAATGCATACATGTGCTCTACTATTACTATTAGTTTTCAAGTTTAATTTAACAAATTTGTATAAAACAAAATTACTTCTTTGGAATTGTTCTGAAGTGTGGTGTAAAAAAAACAGTACAACTTTATTTATTTCTCAAAAAATTAGTTATTGCATTAAATGACACGTTGTCTTGAATGGGTATATTATTTATATGAGTCTATGCTTCATTGTTTTCTAGATTCTTTGACACAATTTTATTAAAAATATAACTTATAATAATACATAACAACAATAATAATATAATAATAAAACTAAATAAGATATGTTTTGCCACGAAAACCATTATGATGTTATGGCATACTTATTTACCATAATATTTTCTCAAGAATAATTTTAAATGTATTAAACTTGTTTTCGGCATTAATTGTTTTTCTTACATTCTTCGTTTTTAAATATTTCAATCAGTGTCTTTAACTTCACATTAATAATAAATACTTCAAACTAATGCATACAAAATTTTTGATTTTTGAAAGTTATTGAATTTAATTTTTTCGTCACTTAAGCCGAATATGATGAAAATACATGAAAAATTAATACATAGTTTGACAACTTTATGTTTTTTATTTAATATCGCCGACAATTCAGTTTTATGACTTCTACTCCGGGCGCAATTAGCATATTTTAATACCTCATAATATTAAATGAGATACCCCCGGTTACAAATTCTGAAGTCATAGCCGCTTCTTCCAGAGTTAAGCCCAATAAATCTCCTGGTTTGGATGGAATCCCCAATACTGTACTGAAGAATGCAATAGAAAAACAAGCTTCTATATTTACGGATGTTTACAACAGCTGCCTACAGGAAGGAATCTTCCCTTCGTGTTGGAAAAAGCAAAGATTGGTGCTTATTCCTAAAGGTAATAAGTCCCCAGAACTGCCATCATCTTATAGACCTTTATGCTTACTAGACACTGCAGGTAAGGTCCTTGAAAGAATTATAAGTTCTAGATTACAAAAATTCACAGAGGCAAGTCAAGGTCTATCAAATAACCAATTTGGCTTTAGACCTAAACGCTGTACTGTTGATGCTGTACTACATGTATGCAACATTGCAAAGGAAGCTACTAAGGGCGTAAGGTGGCTAGGTGGTACTAAAAAGTACTGCGCGGTAGTGACCTTAGACGTTAAAAATGCTTTCAACACTGCTGAGTGGAGTAGCATCTTAAATGCACTGATGAAAATGAGAGTCCCAGAATATCTTTTGAAAATTATTACATCATATTTTAAAGACAGATTACTCTTATATGATACAGAATCCGGACCCAAAACATATAGAATTACGGGAGGGGTCCCCCAGGGATCAGTTCTAGGGCCAATTCTTTGGAATATCATGTACGATGGTATCCTTCGAATTGAAAAGCCGGACGTTGTGCACGTAGTTGGGTATGCAGATGATATTGCAATAGTAGTGGTTGCAAAAACTCTAGACGAAGTGGCTAGGAATTGCAGCGCTACTATTGCAGCAGCTAAATCGTGGCTGCAATACAGCGGATTAGAGCTTGCTGAACATAAAACTGAGGTGCTATTAATCAGCAGTAGAAAAAAGATTGAACAACTCTCAATTAAAGTGGGTGGAGTAGATATACAATCTAGCCCCCAACTTACATATCTCGGTGTAACCTTAGATAGTAGGTTGAGTTTCAAAACTCACCTAAAACAATCGGGAGATAAAGCATCACGTGTCTGCAACGCATTATCTCGATTAATGCTAAACATAGGAGGTCCCAAGGACACCGCTAGAGTTCTTTTAGCATCAGTTTCCAAGTCGGTGATGCTTTATGCTGCTCCGGTGTGGGCACATGCTACAACCATTAAGTCGTATTCACGTGTAATGAAAAGTGCACATAGATTGTCAAACCTACGCATCTGCCGTGCTACCGTACAGTGTCGGACGATGCTGCGGGAGTATTGGCTGGATGCATGCCAATAGACCTTGAAGCGTTCTTGGCCAGAGACAGTTTCTTACAACGCTCTCGTCGGCGAACGACTGAAACTGGGCAATCTCTGGCAGAGTCTTATCTAGATATAAGAGACAAATACCTTTGTGGCGACCCAGTTGGCTGTGCATTTATTGAGTTTAAAAAGTAAAATTCAATTTCAAATATTTTTAAGTTTTTTGTTTTGATTGAGGAGAACGTTCCGATTTTTCTCTCTGTAAAAAGTTGAATAAAAGTTTATTAACATTGAAAATTTTTAGAGTTTTATTAATTAGCAAGGTGAACAGATCATTGCTAAATTGGTGACCCCGACGTGATCTCGAAAAAGTTTAGATTTAGAAATATTAACTTCTGAGCTAAATATCTAATTATCGAGCTGTGATGTCAGTTGCAGACGAAGGTGTAGTAATGGCTTCTGATAGTGGAAGTGTCGTAAACCGTGTAGCAGTGAAGGTGCCACCGTTTTGGCACGAGCGACCGGAGATTTGGTTTGCTCAGATCGAGGCGCAATTCGCAGTAGCTGCCATTACGAGTGACATCACACAGTTCAACACGGTAGTAGCAGCGATTGAGTCAAGTGTTATCGCCGATGTAAGTGATGCAGTGCTTCATCCTCCTGAAACTGGAAGATACGCTAATTTAAAGGCTTGCATCATAGAGCGGTACAGTGAGAGCGAGCAGCGGAAGATTCAACGGTTGTTGTCAGAAGTTGAACTTGGTGATAGACGCCCAACACAGTTGCTAACGGAGTTGACAGCGTTAGCTAAAGACAAGGTGAGCGATGAGTTCCTTAAGTCTCTTTGGCTGAAGCGTTTGCCACCACAAGTGCGCGCTATTCTGCAGGCATCGAACGTGGCACTAGCAGAACTGGCGAAATTAGCAGATCGTATTTGTGAGGCGGGTGATTTTCAACAGATAGCTGTAGCGTCAGCCTCTGATTGTCCAGCCTATTCTGAGAATGCTGTGATTTTACGAAGGCTTGAGCAAATCGAACAGCGTCTGAGTCGTTTGGATTTACGTCGTAGTGAGTCGGTGCAAAGTCGATCGTCATCGAGGAGGCGTAGGCGAACTCGTTCCCGACCAGGAAGTCATCCAGATTGGTGCTGGTATCACGAAAGGTTTGGGGATAGAGCTAATGCTTGTCGGCAGCCCTGTAGTTTTGTGGCAAGCTCTCATCAGTCAAAAAACTAGGCACTCCTTCTACGTCGTCGAGCCGAGAAGGGGTTAGTGTTCGTATAGCTCGACTTAGTATTAAAGATCCCGCCACGTCGACCGTTTTCCTCATTGATACTGGTGCGGACATATCAGTTTTACCGAAGTCGTTCTGTCGTTGGAAGCAAAGGGCTAACAGTGTTGCATCAGTTAATTTATATGCCGCTAATGGTACGCCTATTCAAACATTTGGCGAGCGTCGAC